TACGTAGAATCCAAATATGTAATCACATACAGGGTGTTTTATTTGAAAAAAAGAAAATTGGTCTAGATAGCAAACAAACCAGAAGTGACACAGGCAATACGTTTAAGTAGAATTGTGGGAAATATTAGGGACATAAAGCTACTTGAAATAATTCATCGGTATCGGTAGCCGTAACGCAACTAGATACGTTGACAAGCGAAAAGGCTGTTAAAGCGCTCCCTGTTCCGGTAAACGTAAACGCATTTCATAACCTAGACATTTTTGTCTCAAAACTTCGGCGTTTTTATATCTAACCTTAAAATTGTTATTTTTTTTGCGATAGAGAAGCACTAAACACACAAGAAACTCAAGAAAGTATAAACTAAACAAATTAAATCAACCCGGAAGAAAAGGGAGGTTATATTCATTTGAAATTTGACACATGCGTCAGGAATGTCAAGATACGTTACCGATACGGATACCGCGAGAGGGCCGTAACGTTACGTTGTACGTACGGTATCTCGGCCTACGTTTCGCTTCTGCACATGCGCAGTACGATAACGATACGGATACCGAGCAAAAAATACGGAAGCTTTATGTCCCTAATTTACTGAGCAACTTTCATTGTCACTTTTTCGTATACGAGGTAATTAGAAAGTTACAGGTATTATACGCGACTTTTTTGCCACTCTGTATATTTAAGTCGTTTTTTTATTATTTCTTATCTGAGCCTGAGGCCCTGATGGATCGCCCCCCCCCTAGAAGGAATCCTAAATCCGCCGCTGCTGCTCTGTAAGCAATTAAAAATAGAGGCAAGTGTTTGTCCCATTCTCGCTGGTTCTTTGCGACTACTTCTCTCAGTGTTCCTCTATGGTCTTATTAAATCGTTCTACCATGCCATCAGACTGTGGATGTAAAGGTGTTGTCCTTGTCTTACGAATACCCATGATCTCACAAGTTTTCTTAAAGATGGCAGATTCGAAGTTTCGTCCCTGATCTGAATGCAACTCTAGTGGCACACCATGACGACTGAAAACTTCGTTCACTAGCACCTAGGCAATAGTGATGGCTTCTTGATTGGGAATAGCGAACACTTCTGGCCATTTACTGAAGTAATCCATGAGAACCAAGATGTATTTGTTACCACGCTCTGACTCAGGGAACGGTCCGGCAACATCTATCGATATTCGTTCAAATATGAGATCAACGTTGTACTTTTTCATGGGCCCCCGAGATCTTAGTTAGGGCCTTTTGCTGGTGGCACCTATGCCGCATTTCCGGCACCAGTTTTTAACGTTTTCATGATAGTGAGCCCAGTAAAAACGTTCCCTTATTTTGTCCAAGGTCTTGTTAACTCCAAAATGTGCACCTGAAGTTCCGTCATGTATTTCTTTCAATACATCTTCTACTTGATCTTTTGGAATAACCAATAATAAAGTTGGCTCTTAGTAGATTTTCCATCTGCACTTTCACAAATTTTTTTCAGTAAACCATTTTCAACGGCCAGAGAGTTTCATTGAGCCCACAACGCCTTGTAAATCAAACATCATTTTCTTTAAGATTTAGAAATTGCCCGATGTCCTGGTCTGCTTCTTGATCTACTCTCATTGTTTGGTAGTCCATTTGTCATCAACGATCAGACCCGTTCTTCTCACAGCCGGACCAGTGTTTTTCTCATGCATATCGTTTCTTTGACAATGCGTGCAGTCTTCTTTGCATGGTTGTCTAGACAGAGAGTCAGCATTTTTATACAATTTTCCAGGTCGATGTTTGTGAAAATCGTACTGCTGCAATTTCTCAATCCATCTAGCAAGCTGTCTTTTGGGAGTTTTCATTTCTAAAAGCCATTTTAGAGCCGCGTGATCTGTTCGAATTAGAAACTTGCGTCCGTAGAGGTACTTATGGAAATGGTCGACTGCTTATTCACTATGCTAAGCAGTTTCTCCATTTCCTCCATGAACTTACCCATAACATTCTCGAAATGACCGCCCTCGTTTGATGATTATTTATCCTTTGGGTCTTCAATGGACACTACTCATATTCTAGGTCGTGAGGCACCAAAGATTGTTTCCAGTTCCAATGCTCGGAAAAGGGCTTTGCTACTTTTTCTGAACTTGGACATTCTTATAAACTCTCGTCGAGTTTTTGAATTTTTGATTTAACTTGAGTTCTAAATAGGTACTTCTTGTCTGTAATGGTCTCCGAAGCGCAATTCTAACGTCTGATTTAGATGCTGATAATTCTGTTGGTGAATTGAAGGAATGGACTGAAGAAGATCTAAGGCAGGTCCTCGTAGCGACACTATCAGTGCTGTAGCTATCTTCTATCGTTTTATCCGTTGGTACCTATTTGCAGCAGGCAGCAGCTTTAAATTGACGTCCAGGACGTAGAACCATCAAAATTTGGTAGTTTTATTTTCATACTAGACAATGATGCTCGAACACTACCTGCACTGATGTATTGTATTTCTACTTCATTCATCTTATCTTCAAGTGCTTGAACTTGGTCCTCAACTTCTTGTCTTATTTGCTGGACATCGGCTTTGACCTTAGCTTTTACTTTTACTTCCTGAACGTCGTTTTTAACTTCTCATAGATTGACTTTAACTTCGGCCTTCACTTCCGTACTCTTTTGTTCTAGGTTAGCGACAGATCCGTGTATGGTTTGAAATATTTTCTGTAGTTGTCCAAAGTCTTCTTGCCGTTTTTTTTTTGTCGCCTGGCCTCTTCGTCTTGTTTTTCTTGTTGTCGTTTAGCTTGTTCTTCTTGTTTTTCTTTTTGTCGCCTGGCTTCTTCGTCTTGCTTTTCTTGTTGTCGTTTAGCTTCTTCTTGTTGTTTTTCTTTTTATCGTATTGCCTCTTCATCTTGTTTTTCTGTTGTCGTTCACCTTTTTCTTCTTGTTTTTCTTTTTGTCGTCTGGCCTACAAGTCTGTAACTAGAAGTCTAGCAAAGATATTATTCTGTACTTACTCTGTAGCTTTCTTAATACATAAATGTCCGCGTAGAAATTACATTCGCTCCAATCACTTTATAAACATGTGTATAAACTAATTAAGTTCCAGCCTCAAAGTTATAACGTGACATATGAAATATGTGGTTCGCCGAAAATGGGATTCAACTGGCCTTATCAGGTACATGGCCTTATTTGGGTCAGGTACCTTATATCAGATGTGCACCCACTCAGAGAGATTGAAAGCGGTTAGACAAGTATGAGCCAAGCAGGCCTACGAGTGAGTTACAAAATCCACAAAAATGAAGTATATGAATTAAAACCTTATGATCCAGGCGATCAGAAGCCTTCGACAAATCCAAATATATAATATCAACCTGAGAACTATCATCAATAGATGCAGTAGGAATATATTGAGACACATCAAGTAGGTTAGTGGGAAATTATGGGAATTTTATTCCCTTAAGGAAGTTAAAAATTCTATGGGTCATAAAGTAAGAGAAATTTGGCAGGGCAGTACAATTTGCTAATATAAATACTTGCCAATCTAATTTTTCAAAGTTTGTTTTTGAATTCTGTTGTGTTGTGTTGGTTCTTGAAGATCTTGTTAAATTATTGAAAATGAAGAGAAAGTTAAGGAAAATTGGAGGATTAAAAATGTTGGTCTTGGGCGGGATTTGAACCCGCGTCCTCAGCATTGCCGGTGCTACACTCTAACCAACTAAGCCATCACGACCCTACAGTTCTTTTTGATTTTTGTTTGGTGTTGTTGGAAGAAGTTGCGTGGTTCTTCGCTCATTGCCAAACTTCTCAATCAATCTCAATGTAATATTATTAGTTAAGAAGTAACAATGAACAATATCAATGGAATGTTTAATTGGAATATCATGAATGATGATGCTGAGGAAGCTTGGGAGATTGGGAGAAATGTTCTGCTACAAAATGACCCTTTTAGATTAAGTATAAGTGCATAAAGAGCAACTTTTTCTTGGCCCCCTCGGGCATAGGAACTATTTAATATTGTGGCTAACTCCAACTCCAACCATAGGGATTGGTACCTACCGAGCCCTTGTAAATGTAGGGGTGAATTTTCCCGAACACATTTCAGGTCTTTCGGATAAAAGGTCCACCAGCATTTCTTTCTGCTGTTTGCTAATATTTCTTTTGCTCATTTTTTATTGAAAAAAAAAAAATTACCATTTAATGAACATAAAAATAAGATCATTATAAAAAACCGAACGAACAAAACGCACAATCTCATGGAACAATTGGAAGTTTGAAAGACTGACGATTTTGACATATGGCTTTCAGAAATTTCCAAGCTATGATTGCACAGAATTGGGACTCAACACTTGGTAACTATGCACATATTTTCACTTCCTCTTAGGTACTCCTTCCTTTCAAGAAAACGTACCTTTGTTTGAAACCGAGAGAATAATGTAGGAGCTGTTCAGGGAGCAACTTTTCTATTGGTTTCAAGAATAGAGGCACAGGGGGGAAAAGTTTGGTTTTGTTGGGCAGCCATTAATAAACTCAGTCAATGACCTATTTGATTGCCTACATATTTTTAGTATAAGAATACACTGAAATTGATTAAAGTCCACCAATTTGAGAAATCAAATAAAAAATTTGGGCCGTTGAAATGTTTATTTCCTACTTGAACTGATGTTGAATAGAGATAAGGATGATTTTTGATTATTAATCATTATTATTATTACCATTGACATTGAATAATAATTATTTCAAATTCAATAACAAGCAACAAAAAATAGGCAAAACAAGGTGCCTATCATAAACTTTGATGTTATAAAAAATACTAATTATTGTAAAAGATGCGGCATATATAGATACCTATGATTAGTGCAACTGCTTGGTTTATGTCGCGCTTATTAATACTAATTAACTTTTATGCATGATTGGATGTTTAATAATACCTAATTTTATTGATTTTGTTCAACTAACTAACAACCAATAAATTATTGCAAAAAATAGAAAATAATAATTTTCCTAATTTATGCAGCTTTTTCTAACTAAATAAATAAAATTATAAATAGCCGTTGCAGAAATTTTTAGAGTTAGTTATAAAGCTGTCGTTGCTAAGTTAATTTGGGAAAATTTAAAAAATATGGGGAAGCTTGGTTTTTTATTATTTACATTGGGAAGTTTTGTTTTGGCTAGTGCTAAATTACGTAAGTAAATTGTCTAGTGTTTTTAAGGGAAAAAATACAAAGTTATCAAATATGCTTCAAAAAAATCCTGATTTATTTTACATTTTAAGTTGAAAATTTGGTGCCTTTCATTGATTTCGAATGTTAGTAATATAGTTTTCAATAGACTTTAGGTTCTTTGTTTATTCAGTCCAACTATTTTTGAGGGTAGCGTGAATTCAATCAATTTACTTGCAGGAATTTTTTATGAGGTCAACCAAATGTTGGAATAGTTTGAAGTCCTTTACCCCTAATTATTCTAGTGTAAATAAATTTTTGAATGCCAACTTTTGCTTTGATTGCATTTGGCAGTACGCTTGAATTAGTTATAGAGCTAAAAACGGGTCCGCTCATTTAGAATCTGATTTCTCGCATCCTTTCTAGCATAGAATTAAATTCGTTCGTACAAAATAATATTTGTTTAGTGAAGAACTGGAACGTGACATTTTATCTTTTTCTTAAATTGAAAACTGCCGAGGATTTGAGGACATAACTACGCGTGTATAAAATCGTTTTTCTACTGACATTTCTTAATACGCTATTAAACGATTAAAATCTGTATCATAATGAACTTCATTATGATACAGATTTTTATTATAATACTGATTTTTAATATCATACAATGTAGATAGATGGCACCACCAGTTAAGATATTAAACATTTTAAACGGTAATTTTGCGTAAAACAATTATTTTGATGACTATAAAAAAGACTTCGAATTGTTTAAAAGTTATCTAAAGTTTGGGACAAAGAATTATTATTACGGAAATAATGAGTGATAAGGAAGAATTTTTACTTTTTTCATTATCATACATTGTCAATAGATGGCGCCAGCCGTTAAGAAATTTTGATTTTTTTTTTTTTTTAATGTTGACAGCACTGTGTTTATAGTTTTTCCATGGTAATTTAGCGAAAAACAATAATTTTATAAAAAAAATACTTCAAATTGTTATTAAAAGTTACCTAAAGTTTGGGATGAGGCATTATTATGGAAATATTGAGTGATAACGAACAATTTTCACTAACACCTCTAGAAATTACATAAAGGGCGACAAATGCAGGTAATAAATATACTACCGGTTCAAGAAAATTTACGAAAAATTATATGGACAATTTATGGATTGGAAACACCAAAAACACTTCGTCCTTCTCAGAAAACGTTTTGATAGTATATTTTGAAGAATTACAACAAAAAATGAAACCTTCAACTGTATGGACGCATCACTCAATTATAAAATCTCTATTCAAAAGGCGATTTTCAGCCTGGAATGATTATTATTTGGTTATAACCAATGCATTTCCGCCGTCGCGGTTTTAAGCAAAGTAGGGGAAGTTGTGATGTCACATATCAGCTGATTTGCTTTTGGTATTTACCACTTATAACCGATTATAACCCAGCTTTGGACTTGGGTTAATCTTTTGGTTACAGCTTTTTGATGTGATTGTTATTATTTTGGGAATTGGTATTGGTGTTTTGTGATTTTGCAGTTGTGTTGTGGCCTGGCACAATGGGAGAAGTATACACTCACTCACTCACTGCAACTCACCATGCTTAGATCGAGGTTTAGATCATCCCCAAAGAAAATCTGTTCGATGAACGAGACTAACGAGAGATTCCGCTCCATTTTTTGTACCTAAACAACAAACCATTGTTGAAACGAAAAAACAAATAGGAATAATAAACATAATCCTACACTGCTATAACCAAATCATTTCAGCGGTCAGTTCCTTGGGTTAAGATTCTTGAGTGGTGGGGGGCTGTGACTTCACACTTGGCTGTCAAAGTTGTCAACCAAAAGAATAACCACGGTATTTACCGATAAATAATCATTCCAGGCTGAAAATCGCCTAAAGTTAAGCAAAGTTGACATATCTAAAAATCAATCAAAAGTTTTATCAATGGCAGTAGAAAAAATAGTGTATGCAACTCTCATGTAATAGCCATTAATACACGAGCATGTTGTAGGATACGAAACGAGCCGCAGGCGAGTTTCGTATATAACATGCGAGTGATCATTGCATAATATACTATTTTATACAATAATAATTGCTATTGAGTAAAGTGACCCTTTATTCAAAATTTCAGTTTTTGCTTCATTTTGTCATTTCTAGATTATGTTGAGTATTTATTGGATTATCCTTTCGTTTTAATTATTTTTATCTACAAGCGATTGCTTATAACGTTTTTACATAACCATTTCTCTAGTATTTGAGTTATGTCATGAGTTTCATAACACAACTAGTGGCACCGGCGTATCCAGCCCATGCGTCTGGGGGGGGTAATCAGCCCATTTTTTCCCGGGTGCCACGCCCAAAAACGTTTATTTTGAGCCTTCAAAAAACACACGGATATCGGTGCGGAAAAATCTAAATCTTTTCCGCATGGCTGTCAAAAAAAAATCAATAAATGACTACAAATTATGTAGGTATATGCAAGGCAGTGTTGTCAATCTGAATTTGTGAAATTGCACGATATGCTGGTAAAATTACACGTTTTTACACGCTTTCATTTTTCACAATTACACGTATTTGACACACGATCTTGGTAACCAATCTGTAACATCAAGAAGCAAGTATTTTTTTTTGGGATTTTGGGAAATAGGTTAAATCGTAATGCCCGATTGCACCGTCTCTCTTAACCGAGGCTTAGAGATAACTATTCCTTAAAGTGACATTTTCCCATGCAAAACTGTCAATTTAAGGGATAGTTATCGTTAAGCCTCAGTTAAGAGAGATGGTGCAATCGGGCATAAATCCAGTCAAATCTGAGGGTTAATGCTCCTGATCATAATTCCTCAACGAAAAATAAAAATGTGGCAACTACAGAAAAGCGTTCCGAAAGTAATCGAATTACTAATTACTGGTTCCTGGAAAAGAGGTTACTTTTGTACCTCAGTTTCCTGCAAGGATACTACACACTACTACTATAGGATAGTCTATCCTCATAAGGCCTGTGTAGTTCAATCTGAAGCCGCCGCTGCCATGCCAAAATATCATCAGTGATGACGTAGACAGCGTGTCGTTTCTCGTCTTCACGTAGGGTGTTTGTACCACAGGTTATGATTCCGCGGGCTTTTCCTTTATGCAAAACTTGGTTTCACTACATTAATTAATATTCTGAAACAACTCTTTCTCGTTTTTGGTAATCGCCGCCATATTGGTTTTCAACTGTTTTCAACTGTTTTCAACCATTGTCGACGTCATAACTAAGTTTTCAGCTGTTTAAACAGCCTACGTCAAGGCGAGAAACGCCATGCTGCTTACGTCACAACTGGTTGTTTGGCTAAGGGGGGTAGAGGGGGATTTTTTACAAACAGGCCTTATGAGGTTAAGCCATCCTGTAGTAATAGTAGTGTGTATCATCCTTGGGTATATGTACCTACTTATTTCCGCACGTCTGTAAAAAACCTATTGTACCTAACACATGCGAAAAATCTGTCTTCCGAACTTGGCTGCTTCCCGAATTCCGCTACGCGTCTTTGGGTGAACGACACGCACTTGTTAGGTAAATATGTTCTGTACTACCAACAAATAACGAAACCGAACTCTGATAGCGAATTCCATTGGAATAAAGGTTAGTGCGCACCGAGTGCATTCGTATCTTATTCTACCAGCTTATATAAGAAAGAGATAAAAATACATTCTTTCGCACTGATTTTACCAATGGAATTCGCTATGAGAATCGCCTAAAACTTTTCAATTATAGGCATAGCGAATTCTATTGGTAGGATTAATACAAAAAATTTATTTATCTCTTTCTTATGCAAGCTAGTAGAGAAAGATATGAATACACTCAGTGTGCACTATCCCTTTGAATAGAATTCGCTATAAATGGCATGCGGGCAGTGCGGACACTGTGCAAACTAGAAAACAAGTTAGGGCCAGTTGCTGAAAAGTAAAAATATAAAAAATAGATTTATTTGTAAGGTGTAGGGTACATTTTTTTCGTCCATCGTAACGATCTTGGGGGGGGGGGGGGTAATTACCCCCATTACCCCCCCTTGTATACGCCGGTGACTAGTGGTGTTATGGACTAGGTTATGAATCTATAACATAACTATTTTTGGTGATTTGACAAATGTCAAAGCTAAATCTGTAAAGCTAAAATCACAGAACATACCACCTCTAGAAAAGTATCTGCAATATTAGGTACCGGTTATGAATTACAGCGCCATCGTTGACTTGAAACCCAACTAATCGGGCATTCTTGACAAAAAGGCGAATCGATTTTTTTGATATATTTTTATTATTTTTAAATGATTTTTAATGTTCAACTGCATTTGGCCTGCTGACTCTTTTAAGCTCTTTTCGCCCCATTTTCTTGAAAATTGTGACTGGCAGGAAGTTTCCAATGTCGAACATAGTACAAAAAGAGTTTGATGAGTTAGCAAGCGACACGCAGCTATAGGTAGATCGCAAAGAAAATACGAATAATAAACAACACAATTTAAAAATTCAAATTTTGAATTTCAAAATGACAAAATAAATGACAAAACCAACCAACAAACAAATCACTGTCTATATCACAGATACCTGCAAATTTCCCTTATCTCCCGACAGTGTCGCCATCGTTGACTAAAAACCTAACTAAAAACCTTCGTCGCAATTCTCCCATTTGAGAAATTTTTCTAGAGCGGATATATTCTGTGGGTAAAATAAAGGCAGACAACTACTAATAAACGGAACTAATTGAAAAAACATTCTTATTTCTCGATTTGTAGATAAAACGTTGTACATCACACGTGCGTTTGAATATGACTACAGAACTCGTGTGATTAGAACGACTCGGTCTACGACCTCGTCGTTCCAATCTTTCACACTCGTTATTGTAATCATGTTTATATACGCACTTGTAATGTAATTAACTATTAGAAATTTCGTTTTCGTTATATTTTGTCTTTTCTAGATTATATCCAGTATGTATTAAAATATCGTTAAGTTTTTAATATTTTCATAAACTTTCTTTTCATTATCGGACTGGA